GGTTATGGCAGCAGAACCCACTGTGAGAAATTCGGTGTCATTTATTAAGGGGATTGACCGCAATAGACCGCTCGTGCCTAGTGTGAATTTTTCCGAAAACATGGGTTTCTATTCTAAACATTGTAATTTAACGCTGCGAGATAAATATCTAATTTTTTGTATAGTAACAGACAAAGGTTCACACTAACTCGGTACGTTTTTGGTTTTCAATAATATGGTCATTAAAAGCTTTTACAAGTGCTTAAAGTTAATGCTTCTTGTAGGACACGTATTTACAATAGAAATTAAAAATGACCTTCGACAGGCTTTAGAAAGAAAGCTTTATCTATCGTCCTACAAAATTTCAAACCTCTGTTCCAAACATTACACTCATGATATCTAGAACCGATAAACATGTTTTTACTCTACGGCGCGTGTACTACTGAATTCCCTCAATGTATCAGCATCTATTGAGTATGTACTGTTGGTACGTGCCGAGGCAGCTTTTATAAAAGATGTAACCGAGTGGACTAATTCAAAATTTAAAACAAGGAAAACTCACTAAATTTAATAAACCCTTGTCTAAAGGTGATTATAACGATTACTTTTAATTGCGAATTTCTCCATAAATTGATGTTATTCTGATACATATTGGTTTTATTTTGGAACCTTAGAAAGTATCCCCTATGATTCCATACTAATTACCATTCCATATCCGCGATTTCTGTATTCGCGGCATACGTATGGAACGTATACCCCGCGAATGAAGAGCTTTTACTGTATTTCGTAAATTCGACTCCTTCTCTGTGCATTTGTGTCACTCTGCTTTTTGTATGTTAGCTGAAATAACTTCTTTATAGGCGATTATTGTGGCCGCAGAAACGGACGATCCAAAGTGTGACGTAAGCATTGATATTGATGGAAAAAGTTATACTAACAATAATCAGGGTCATCAACAACTGCCACCACCACCACCACCTAAAGTTTCCAAAGAGGTACCTATGTATACGGTATTTTGTGTATTATCTAAGCACACAAAAATTGCATTATAATTATTAAATTCCGGCTTAAGGGAAATATACAATGTGCATATTTAAACGGTACCCCGAGGGTGGTGCAAAGAGGTGTGGTTAAAATGAAAAATGTTTTCTAGTAATAGTTGATGGTTTTATACATTTTATTGGTCAAAGTGCATGTTCCAACTATTCACACGAAATGCTTTTTTTATATTGCTTTTATTCAAAGCTTCCTTCCAACTCTTAAAATTATTTACGTGGATATTTTAACAGCTTGAAAATTTTAACTGTACACTGGTACTGGGGTACTAACTCTAATAATAATCAATCTTTTTTTATTGGTAATTACTCGCTACTTAAGTAGGTATCCACTATTGTTGTTATTATTTTTTTTTTTTAAGGTAAGTAATGTTATTTAGTTTAATTTTTTTTGTACGTAAATAATAATTTTTACTTATGTGAATGTATGTACATATTCCAATTTATTCCATAAATAACAACGTGAAAAGTAATCAAATAAGTAACTGTTTCAAAAACACATACAATAGCAATATTACTCAAATAAATAATTAGTCAAATTTACACAGGAAAAGTTTTAAATTTTACAATTTATACCATTGTGTGTACTAGAAACTAGAAATTCAAATGAAAGTTTATACTTAAGAAAATATACTTTCTATTTTTATTGTAATAATTGTACATATATAAATACATGGTATAGATTTTTCAAAAAAAAAAAATCAAAATATATACAAATGCAAATTATTAAGTAGTACCTGTTGTTCAATATTATTTTATGTCAGTATTACATAAACTAAAATCAAAGGTTTATTCATCATCCTGAGCTATCTTCTTATTTCCTTTAAACTAGAACATCCCACATCCATAACTAATCTATTCTAGGTCTACCTGTATTCCTCTTAATAACTCCAGTTTCTGCTTCTAATATGTCTCTGAGTAGCCGTTCATGTCTAAGAAAGCACCTAAAGATTTATTAATTTATTACAAAACTGGACAAAACTAAAAGTAACCATTGACAGACATCATCAAAAAAATATGTATTTATTCTAAATTTGTGTTGTTTTCGAAATTTTTCATCGGTCTTTAGATTTTTTGTTTTCTAATTATTTAAGTTTAAGTTAAAAAAAATGGTAACGAAGCTTTTTTTTTTTTCGATAAACTATTAACCTTTTGCTTGACGTTATCCTTATTGATTACTGCTCTTTCTCGCCTAAACAAACCGCTAAATTACAGAACTAAAACATCTACAAAACTATTACGTATCAAAAACATTTTTAAATTATATTTAACATATTAATTTTTTTTATTTATTATTCAGGCCGTTCCAATCTCCAAAGACACGAAAAGTATAACGTACAGAAGCGTTGCGAAAGCTGGGGATGTCCATGTAGAAATTCTACGTGAAAATGTGGACACTTTGGCTAAAGTATTCAACTATGTTTCAAAAAAATACGCAAACAAAAGATGTCTGGGCACAAGAGAAATTAAGGCTGAAGAAGATGAACTCCAACCCAATGGAAGAGTTTTCAAAAAGGTGAGAATATTTCCTTTTGCTCGCTAGTGTTTTACATCGCATTATTGATTTTATAAATTTGAAAATATTTTTCAATTTGAACAATAATAAAAAACACGGTATAATACACACGTCTAATTTTTAAAGTGAAACTTTTTTATCGACGGTAGGAAAGAAATTTACTGGGGTATAAAACCGAAAATTGTAACGTCACGCGTCACGCGTGATGCGTTACGTGTGATCCCTGGTGGATATGTCCAAAAGAGCCATTTTAACAAGCATCAGAAACTAACATGGTAGTAGCAACCGATAATCCGAAAATTGCCATTTCGACAAATTATCAGCAGATCGCCCCATCGCAGTTTTATATGGTGCAAGCGTAACAGTTTTTAACAAAACTAAACCAATATTCCGCATTCACCTGATCGAAATGTATTTTTTTTAAAATACTACCTTAATATACAATCTAAAGAAGTTTCACTTCTTGCGCGTGTACACTAATACACCCTCGCCTCTTTTTTTATTTCCAAACACAGCAGGTTGACATTTTACGATTATATGAATATTCTTTTGTTAGATTTGAAAATGAAAAGTATTTTTAATTAGAAAGGCCTTCTAAAATTATTTGTTTCTATATGTAAAGAATCGTAGTGTTTTTAAAAATATGCCATATTTTAGTTATGGTCATATTTGTTTGCTACAAATGAATATTATATTTATTTTTTTTATTGACGATTAGTGTATTTGTTTTTGTTTTGTTTGGTGAATTAATTTATGCATGTATTAAAATTTATTGAAAAACATATAATTTCTAAAGACGAAACAACTGCGGTTAGTTTTCTAATTAAAAAAAACACTAACCCTGTGAAGCCGTCCATAAAATGTCACTTAGAACTTCACATTTTTAGACCCCTCCCTCCTTCTTCGTCAAGCGAAGTCCCGCTTTTAGCGACACCTTAATAAATATTATGTCACAAAAGCTGCCCCCCTCTATACGGTTTCCTGTAATTAAAATTTGTTAATTCTACACGAATTTTTCTCTATAAGAGATGGTCCTTCGAGAAAATGTTAAACAAAAAAATTCCAAATCATCACGTCATCTTCCCAAAACATGTTTATTTACAGGCTTTTAAGTACTTGAGAATGACATTTTATCGTAAAGAAAAATTTCAAGACCTGCCAAGGTAAAAAAAAATAAAAAATATATAAAGTTAAAACTACCAACGTCACATTTCCTTAGACCTCCCTCCCTCTTGTCATTCATCGTTACGCTAAACAATACCCTTCCCTCCCCTTCATTTGCGAACGCATTTTTTTAAACGGCCCTGTCTGGCCTTTATTCTACACTTCAAAGAGCAAATGAAAGAAATGGAAACTTTTAATTCATAAATACACAAATAATGATAGTATAGGTTTTTGTTTTATAGTAGGTACATTTTATGATTTGAAGAAAATATTAATGAATTTTGTTTTCATAGTACGATTTGGGCGACTACATCTGGAAAACTTTTGCCGAAGTTTACGTGCTGGCCACAAATTTTGGCAAAGGTCTCAGAGAACTAGGGAATTCACCCAAGAAAAGTATTGTCATTTTTGCAGAAAGTAGGGAAGAATGGATGATCGCTGCACAAGGATTATTTCAGCAGAATATTCCAGGTAATGTATAACAAGAATTTAACCATAAAACTAACTCACCTTACGCATAAGTGTGTTTTTGTATTCAGTAGTTGTCATTTACTTTTATTGCTACACTTTAAAAAATCTATTGCAAGTTTTGTAAATTACAGACTTATTTATTTCAGTTGTAACTATTTACGCAACCCTTGGCGACGATGCCATCGCACACGGTATAAATGAGACTGAAGTAACCACTGTTATTACCAGTTTCAGTTTAATGCCCAAGTTCAAAAATATATTACACAAAACTCCTAATGTTAGCACTGTAATTTATATGGAAGACCAGTTGAAAAAACTGGATCACAACGGCTACAAAGAAAACGTAGAAATTTTCAAATTTTCCGAGGTTATCCAAAAAGGATCCACATCAAAAATTGGTAAGTTTTTGTTTCTCATTTAAATAAACATCTTTTACAAAACGCTATAATCGAGTTATAAGTTTTACTAAAAAGCTCTGTCAATGGGTAGTATGCATAAAGTTGATGAGTGCTTACTATAGTGCACACTTAAAGTAGCCACTCCATTCGAAGTACATAAAAATATAAGTAGAATCTCAAAAATGTGAGTGCCTGCTCCCTTTTCTTGAGAATTTACTCTCTCCTTGAATACTGACTCAGGTTTTTAAATGCATAGATGAGTGTATATTCTCGCAGCACTAAATACCTATTTTTAAAAAAATATATGCGCGATTCTGCATACAAAAATCCGAGTCGATACTCAAAGCAAGAGGAGATGCTTAGTAAGAGAGTGAGCAGCACACTCACATTTTTATTCACTTTACACTGGCTAATTTAAAAATGTATGACTACACTAAGCATTCATTTTCATGGATACAATCCTATGATCACTGTCAATATAGTCCACACTCTCATTTCCATTATTATTAGAAAACAATCCTCCTCGAACTGACGACATTGCCATCATCATGTATACCAGTGGATCAACAGGAGTTCCCAAAGGTGTTATTTTGCTCCACTGTAACTTAATCTCCACTCTCAAGCAATTTTGTGATGCTGTAAAAATATATCACACCGATGTACTAATTGGATTCTTGCCATTAGCTCATGTATTCGAATTGTTGGTTGAGAGCTTGTGTCTTTTAGTGGGTGTACCTATAGGATATTCCAGTGCTTTAACCATGTTAGATAGCTCAAGTAAAATAAAAAAAGGCACCAAAGGAGATGCTTCGGTATTACAACCTACGTGCATGACTAGCGTTCCAGTAAGTTTTGACTACACCATTGTTTGTTTCTTTTTTCTTTTTTTCAATATAAGTAAATAAATAAATAAACAATATCAAACAGATCATCGATAATACTTAAACCTGTACTTATTATTAACATCATCATTGAAGTTTTTGGCATTGAAAATTTCTGTGAATATTACTTTTGGTTATAAATGATTAAATAAATTAGCCAAAAAGGACACCCTAATCACCTCAGAACTTATTCACCGCGGACACGTCCTTCGTCCACTTCTAATGCAATGTCCTTAGTGTATAAGTTTTGTGGTAATTAGCGTGAGCCGTTTTTGGTATATTTATTTATTTATTCCTTCACCACAGCCTTCATTTTCTACTGCAAATTATTACCTTTTAGTAATGTAACAATTTTCTACTTTACTAGTTGATTATAAAAATTGTAATTAATTTGAAACTTTGGTTTCTTACAGCTAATTTTGGATAGAATATCAAAAGGAATTCAAGAAAAAGTTAGTAAAAGTTCACCGATTGCAAAAGCAGTGTTCAAATTTGCGTATGATTACAAATTGCGTTGGATCCGTAGAGGATACCAAACGCCCTTAATAGATCGGTAAGATTTTAATTTATAAAGTTAATCGCAACATCTTCTTGTTTTGTTTTTAATCGCACTATTAAATTTCCAGTAGCACAATTATAAACATTCATTAGAACATCCTGTAAACTCTAAATTAAATATTGTTGTCCTTAAAGGAGGCATTTAACAAAAAAATAACTTATAATAACTTTTAACTGTGTTAAATGAGTCAAGAATTTTTTTGTCATTGTAAAACACTTAGTGAGACATAAATAGTCACAAATATCTGAAATCAATTTCTTGATTCGTTCTATAATGTTGTTATGTGTATTTAAAAGAAGACTAAATATACTAATTGTAAAAAATTTTTAGATTAATTTTCAGAAAAGTTAGAGAATTAGTTGGGGGTAGAGTGAGGCTAGTCGTTAGTGGGGGTGCACCACTGTCACCTGATACTCACGAACAAATTAAGGTTTGCCTATGTGTGCAAGTTATCCAGGGTTATGGACTTACAGAAACAACTTCTTGTGCCGTTGTAATGGATTGTAAGTAATCGTGATTATTATTTTGTATAACATTACAAAACAAAATTGAGAAAGGTAAAATAATAGTACTTCTCAATTAGTTATTTTACTTAAAACGACCCTACATTTTTAATCATGTGGACAGTACTACTCTGAACTTTTTCAATGTTTTTTATTTTTCTCAACATATAGGTAAACGAAATTCTCTTTTGATACGTCGAATACGTGTGACTGCTAATTACGTGTACTCAGCAAAATTTTTCCTAATTCATGTAAGCAATGGCCGATTTGATTTGCATAGCAAAATCGTGTTTTAATACATGTATTAAAATATATATACAATACAGTTTTACTCATGAAAATTTTGACGGATATGTGAAGTAAACAAACATGCAAATTAAACAGATTAGCGGCTAAGGAGACTATCAGCAATTAAAACGAACTTCTCCGAATGTACTAAACCACAAAGTCTCCTTTGCTCTGCTTAAATGGCATCTAAACGGAAAAAAGGAACAATCAAAAAGGATTCAAACAAACTGTAATATGTTCTACAAAAACGTTTTTGGGCGTGAAAAAGCGTAATAAAACGTTTAAAAAATGTTATTTGGTGTTTTTTGTTAACTGTTTAATTAAACTTATTATTTATAGATGCCTACATCATTTTTTAGTTTTAAAAAATCTTTTAATTCATTTTTGTTTTTTTACAGCTGATGATATGAGCGTCGGAAGAGCTGGTGCTCCTACAACATTATGCGATGTAAAATTAGTCAATTGGGATGAAGGTAACTACCGAATTTCAGATAAACCATATCCAAGGGGAGAAGTCGTCATTGGTGGTGATCACGTGAGTCCCGGTTATTACAAATTACCCGAAAAAACAAAAGACGACTTTTTTGAAGCGGATGGCAAGAGGTGGTTCAAAACTGGAGACATTTGTGAAATGCACGAAGACGGAAGCATGAAAATAATTGGTAAGTGCCATTCAATTTAAAATATTCACTTTCCTTTATACAAAATGCCTAAGAACAGTTTAGGTTCTTGGTCAGTAATTTATCGAAACTTTCCGACGTGGATTACGATTGAAAACTTATTTGTTCTCATCAGCACCACATAGGCAGTCTCGACATATTACCGACCAATCAACAGACAGTATATTAAAACAGGGTTAAAAGCAGTTCTGATGTAAAAAGCCTCACGAATTTTTTAAACATATTTGCTTGTGTTTTGATGTTTTTTTTTATCTACAAACGTTTTCTATTTTTTTTATATATTTTCTTTTTTTAACTTTTATTCAGTAGAAAGTAGACTGTTAACTTCTTTTACTGTCCTTTTCTCTTCATATCTAATGCATATTCCTTTTACTTTCTAATCAGTTTTTACTTTTTTCGATCATTAGGCTGTTCTGTAAATGTATCTTGTATCCTCTCCAGTTATTTTCTTTTTGTCCATTCCCATATATTATACAGGTTATTTCAATCACTAAAGGATGTTTGTTCAATGATTTCACTTTATTTAATTTCAGATCGTAAAAAAGATCTGGTAAAATTACAAGCAGGCGAATACGTATCACTTGGAAAAGTAGAAACTGAATTGAAAACTTGTCCCATTGTAGACAACATTTGCGTATATGGCGATTCTTCAAAACACTACTGTGTTGCTCTCGTTGTACCTAATCAGTCGCATTTAATAGAACTTGCAGCTAAAGTAGGTATTACAGAAAAATCATTTGAAGAATTATGTTCTTTGCCAGAAATGGAAAAGGCCGTACTCAAGGAATTGGAAGAACACGGAAGAAAATGTAAGTTTATTTACTGTGTTGTAGTTATTAAAATTGCCCGTATTCTGGACTTCCATCCTTCCGTACACGTAATACATTTTATCCTTCTTTTAAAAGTAGAGCCGGAGTATGTAAAAAAAAATTTAAAATCATCATTTTCATCAAAAAGTTTAACCATGGTACATTCTCAGTAATTACAAAAAATTAAAAAAAGAAATTTTGTATCTTACGTTATTCATATCAGCTTTTGTACATAATTTCAGTTATTTAGGAAAATATCTTAACTATCAAAGATGAGCATAACATTTTTTGAAAATTATCCGTGATACATAACATTTCAAAAGAACACTAATATGGTAATTGCCCTAAGACTTATGATCATAGTTCACCCTAAAATTTTAATTTTAGAATTAAAACTAAAATTTAAAAATTTTCTAATTTAAAATGGCCATTTTCCAATAAAAAAGAAACCACATTCACTATAAACTAATGTACTTATAAAAAAATGTGTTATGGTCATAATTTGCTCATCATACAAGTCCTATACTTTAATGACTTAGCAGCGTGAACGTTGGTTCGATTCAGGGTCCATCTGCCATGGTCGAAATTTTCCTGCGGTTTCCTTGGATCATATAAGGAAAATACTGGGATAGTAACAATATTTCACAGATAAATTTTCCTTTTCTTCTGTCTTCATTTTGTCCACCTCATCTGTCTCTCCCTAACTATCACTACCCACTTTTCACAATTCCTAAAAGGAGACTGAAGCGGGCCTTCTGCATACTCTTCAGTTTTACGCTTATGTAGTACGAACGAACTGCCCGCCCATTAGCATTAGTAGCTGGTGAGAATAAACCGTGCAAAAAAGTAATTGTTATGTCATTAATTTTCAAACGGTTAATTCAACATAGCGTAATTTTTGAATTTAATACTAAACAATTATTTTAGGTAAACTAGAGAAATTTGAAATACCAGCAGCCGTAAAATTAGTAAAAGAAGTGTGGTCTCCTGACATGGGTCTTGTAACAGCTGCTTTTAAATTAAAAAGGAAAGATATTCAGGAAAGATATCAGCATGAAATTAACAGAATGTATGCTTCCTGAAACATACTTTATCGTAAACAAAGTAACAATAAGGTATAATGTAATTAGAAAGACTTGCATTTTGTATATAAGAATAAGACTTCTACACTAAACTGTATGTACGTATTGTAATTATTTAAAAATTGGCATAGATGAACATACTACTATTTAATACTCAGATTTTAACAAAATTTTTGAATTATGTACATAGTTTGGTCACTTTTAAAATGACGGTTTTTCTATATCTTTTGTAAATTATTTATATGCGCCGCGGGTCTCTTTGATAATTAAGTATAATTTAAGAGTGACTATGCAGTCTTTTCTTTTTGTTTTCGTTGAACGGAAACTGTTTTTAGCATGTGCATAGAGTGTGGTTATTGGAAATGTACTTAATGGATTTTGAATTGTTATTTACTTATAGATTCACTGAGAATTTTTAAATTGTTAAAAAAAATGTAGATCGTAAATAATGAAAATGGTGCTCTAAAGAACAAATATAATTCCAGTAAGTGGAATACATTCTGTATCTCGATGTACAAAGTAGAACTTGTATGTGTATTAAAAAACTGTTTATAGTTTGAAGTCTGCATGGCAGATACAAACTTTGTTGAATAAAATGCATGTAAAATATATTTGTGCAATAAAGTCTTTTTTTAAACAAATTTAAAAATAAATGTGTAATAGACTTATAGTTACTGAATATACTCAAATTATAAACTCAGTGCTACCCCAAAANAAAAAAATTAAGATGTTTATATTAAAAGGCCTCAACCTTAAGATAAAAGTGCAAATAATTAACACACATTTGAATATCGATTATTGTATATCTTTTTACAAAAACATTACACAAATTTTGGACACCATTTGTCGTGGGGCATTTATCGTAGCAGTCTTCTTTCACTTTAGAATGTTATAACTGAAGGACGTACGTTATAAAGTTGTATTTACAAAATTGTTTGTGTTTTCCAAATCTACTAACTCGTTTAACAACAATTATATTTTTTTACTTTTTACTGAATTATTATTCCCTATTTGATTTTATAATTATTATTTAATTGAAGAAAGTTATGGTTCTTAATATTTCAAAAGATAGTCTTTGAGATGTAACTAATATCAAATTGTTTCAGCAAGTTGACAGAGGACTCGAAATCTGCAGAAGTGCATTGCCATTAATGTCTCCCCCCCTGAACTGTGTAGTATTTTTGGGAGAGGTGAGGAACCCTTATTTATTCCATACGAGCAGAATTTACAGCATACGTTGTGCGAATGTGACAGCTGATATAAATAATCCTCTGATTACATGAAGCGTAATTGTGCGTTAATTAGAAAATTGTTTCGAGTAATGGAAAAAATTCAGTGTCTATACTTACGGTAAGTGAAATTTATCTTTATATTCACACGTGTGAATCTGGTTCGAAATATGTATCATAATTGTGCATCCATTAATTCTTTAAAAAGAAGGAAAATTGTTTCAGGTACCGGTGGATATTAAATGTCAATTTAATCAAAAATTAGTAAAGATATGGTAAATATGATAATTTAATTGGCGCCAACTGATTGCGCGTCATTTGTACTCAAAGATTTAGCTATTATGGTATGCTGTATTTATTTTTATATTCATTATTAGTAATGATTACGGTAAAACTTCCAAACTGTGACGTGTGTAATCTACAAATATTAATTTGCTTAAAAAAAACGTTAAAAAGGCCTTCCGCCGAATTTTTTCATAATTAGGCCATTTTACGTCATTTCCACCAAAAAAAGTTTCGAAAAAGCCGCGATTCGGAAGTTTTACCAATAATACTTCTAGTTTTTCAATACCATTACTACGAATCATATAATTATCTATAATTCACAAACTGCGCAAGCGTATTAGTAATATCAATAAAAATTAAGTATATGTAATTATTACTAATTAAATAATATAAAGAAAAAATCCGTTTACCATATTAGATCAGTCTTCAAGCACAAATGACGCGCAAACGTTCGGCATCAATTAAATTATGATATCTTCAGTAATTTTTGAATAAGTCAACATTGAACTTCCACCTGCACCAGAAACAATTTTGCTTTTTTCTAAGAAAACTAATTAACGCACAATTAAACTACTTACATATTTAGAACCCGCAAACAATCCAATTTATTCGTAAAGTTGAATGAGAGGATTATTTATATCACATGACTATTTATGGCATACTTTATCTACGTTAATAACTGTTTATGGTTGTAAAGTATAGACATCTAGTGACGGCATTGCGAACCAGCATTGCCAAGAGTAGTTGATATAACATTCCTGTATCTGATCACGATAAATATATATCACTTACTTAGTTATTAAACGAACGTTTTAATTAAGGAAACCCAATATTACATGGTGTCAGAAGTGGGATAAAGCGTCAATAAACAGGAAAAAGTGAGAAAGTTGTGAAATGGCCACGAACGACGCAGTATCAGGAATAAAGCCGCCAGCTAACCTACAAATCGACTCGGACAAATCAACGAGCTGGAAAAAGTGGTTACAACAATTTGAGTGGTATGCCACTGCTATCCAACTAGATAAAAAGCCAGCCGAGGTCCAGGCAGCAACATTTATGGCTGTGATAGGCCCAGATGCGATCGAAATTTACAATAGTTTCAATCTCAGCGAGGTGGAAACAGATAACCTACAAGTTATCAAAGATAGGTTTAAAGAGTATTTTGCACCAAAAACAAACATATCTTTTGAAAGATATATATTTTTCAAGATTGAACAAAATGAAGATGAACAATTCAATGAGTTTTTGACTAGAATAAAAACCCAAGCAGGAAAATGTGAATTTGACAACTTATGCGATGAAATGCTGAAAGACAAGATAGTATTCGGAATTAGATCTAATCAAGTAAGAGAGAAATTACTAACAGAAGACAAACTAGATTTGATGAAAGCGGTAAATATCTGCAGAACAAGTGAACAAGCTTCCAAACAACTGGATGAGTTTGAAAGTAAAAGTAAAACGGAAAGAGTGTCAGCAGTGAAAAACAAAGATGCCAGAAAAGAAGAAAACAAGAACTTTGACTGCAGAAGATGTGGTACAAACCATAAACGCCGAGAGTGCCCAGCTTTTAACAAACCATGCACAAAATGCAATAGAAATGGTCACTTTGCAAATATGTGCAGGACTACAAAGAAATATGATACTAAACGGAAAAATAGAGTGAATGTACTAGAAGAAAGCTCAAATTCTGAAGATGACGTATACATATCTGCTATAAGTACTGGAGAAAAGAAAAACTGGACAGAAAAGATTCAGGTTGACAACGTGAAGTTTACAGTTAAACTAGATACAGGCGAAGAATGTAATGTATTACCAAGACACTTGATGGACAAAACAAAAGCAAGTCTGAAGTCAAGCCGAACAAGAAATCTGATAAGTTACACAGATGACAAAATGACAGTGTTAGGTGAAGTAGAGCTAGTATGTAAATTAAAAAACGAAGAAACAAAAATTGTTTTCAAAGTAGTTCAAGAAAAAGTTACACCAATCTTAGGACTTGATACCTGCGAAAAATTGGGACTTATTGCACGAGTCAAAACATTGAAGGAAAGTCAATGTACAGATGACATATTCGAAGGCTTAGGCTGCTATAAAGGTTACGAGTATGATATCGATCTGATTGAGAACCCAAAATTCGAAATAAAGCCGTCAAGAAGAATTCCACATGCTTTAAGAGATGAAGTTAAGCAAGAACTTGACAGAATGGTGAAGTTAGATGTAATAAAACCAGAAACAGAGCCTACCCCTGCTGTGAGTCCTATGGTAGTTGTCAGACAAAAAGATAAAATGAGAATTTGCATAGATCCATCAAACGTAAACAAAAATATCCTGAGACGTCATTTTCCACTTACCACTATAGAAGAAATTTCAGCTGATATCAAAGGTTCTAAATTCTTCGCATTATTAGATTGCACAAAGGGATTCTGGCAAATAAAACTTTCAGAAAAAACACAAAAAATATTAACATTCGCTACCCCATGGGGAAGATATTCCTTCAAGAGACTCCCGTTTGGTGTATCATCAGCACCTGAGATATTCCAAGAAATATTGACAAACTTGCTCAGCAAATTTAAAAACGTGAGGGTATCTATCGATGACATATTTATACATGCAAGAAGTAGCGAAGAACTAGGCAAAACCGTAGGCGAAGTAATAGAAGTGATGAAAAACTCAGGCTTTAAACTTAATAAAAGCAAATGCATTTTTGAAGCAAAGAGAATAAAATTTCTAGGTCACATTGTTTCAGCCAACGGACTAGAAGCAGACCCGGACAAAGTAGAGGCCATACAAGCAATGAAAACTCCAACAAATAAAACAGAGTTACAGAGACTACTAGGGATGATTACATATCTAAATAAATTTATCCCCAATATGTCAGATTTAACAAATCCACTAAGAGATTTGTTACACAAAAATACAAGCTTTACATGGGATTTTTATCATAAAGAGGCGTTCAAAAAAATAAAGCAACTACTACAGAGTCCTCCAGTACTGAGACTATATGATGTTAACAAACCTGTAACTTTAACAGTAGATGCAAGTTCCAAAAATCTTGGAGCTGCACTCCTTCAAGAAGGACAACCAATAGCCTATGGAGCAAGAGCATTGACAAAATCCGAACAGAACTATCCTCAAATTGAAAAAGAAGCCCTAGCTATACTGTTTGGATGCAACAAATTTCATGAATATGTATATGGTAAGGAACTGACAGTAGAGTCAGACCACAAACCACTCGAAACGATTTTCAAGAAGAATATACAGTCGGCTCCAGCAAGGTTACAACGCATAATGTTTAATCTTGCACCATACTCACCGAAAGTAACATTTAAAAAAGGCACAGAAATACCGTTAGCAGACTTTCTTAGTCGAGACTGTGATGCAACTAATCTGAAATACGAACCAGAAGAAAATTTGAAAGTCGCAGTAATACTACCTATGTCGATAGATGCTAAAGAAGAAATAGTCATTGCTACAAAAGAAGACACACATTTACAGTTACTACTTAAGGTAATAATGCAAGGATTTCCCGAAAANTACTGAGACTATATGATGTTAACAAACCTGTAACTTTAACAGTAGATGCAAGTTCCAAAAATCTTGGAGCTGCACTCCTTCAAGAAGGACAACCAATAGCCTATGGAGCAAGAGCATTGACAAAATCCGAACAGAACTATCCTCAAATTGAAAAAGAATGCTGTTTGGATGCAAGAAATTTCATGAATATGTATATGGTAAGGAACTGACAGTAGAATCAGACCCCAAACCACTCGAAACGATTTTCAAGAAGAATATACAGTCGGCTCCAGTAAGGTTACAACGCATAATGTTTAATCTTGCACCATACTCAGCGAAAGTAACATTTAAAAAAGGCACAGAAATACCGTTAGCTGACTTTCTTAGTCGAGACTGTGATGCAACTAATCTGAAATACGAACCAGAAGAAAATTTGAAAGTCGCAGTAATACTACCTATGTCGATAAATGCTAAAGAAGAAATAGTCATTGCTACAAAAGAAGTGTTGTTTATAAAGTAATTGAGTAATTTATTAACATTAACTACAAGCAAAAAACCAGGAAACATAAAACATAAAAACATAGAAATCTAACTTAGAACTTACTTGCTTACTTACGCTCACAGTATAGTACAGTGTTGCCAAACAATATAAAAAATAACTATTATTGCAACTCATACCAACACGCCCCCTCAATAAAGTTATTTTATTCCTTTCCGTATTCATTTAATAAATCTAAACCCTCCCTGAATTTCTCAAATTTCACCTTAGGTAATGGCTTGGTAAATATATCGGCGAGTTGATCTTCACTCTTGATATGAAGAATATTTATCACGCCACTATCAAGTTTTTCTTTAATATAATGCAATCTTATGTCAACGTGTTTCAGTCTCTTATTATTTTCTGGATTATTTGCAAGTTTGATAGCCGATTGATTATCTTCATATATAGTGACTGGTTTATTTAAATTAAATAACTGAAAATCTTCTAATAATTTTCTCAACCAACAGGCCTCACAAACTGCCATACTTAGAGCTACATATTCTGAGTCAGTTGACGAGATAGAAACACATTGTTGTTTCCTACTTGTCCAAGACACCGTACAGTTTAACAATTTAAAAACATAGCCAGTAGTTGACTTTCTATCTTAAACGTCACCTCCCCAATCAGAATCTACAAATCCACACAAAACTTCCGCATTACAATTTTGTTTATAAAACAATTTAAACTTAAGAGTCCCTTTTATGTATCTCAGGACACGCTTCAAAGCCTTTAGCAAATTAATGTTTGCCTTATCCTGGTATCTACTAAGTAAACTAACACTTTCGCAAAGATCAGGTCGCGAACCTTGAACTGCATACATTAGACTTCCAATAATCTGCCTACACAACTTTTGTAAGCTTACATTCTCTTCGTTATTCTTAAAATCAAAATCAGTGTTTACATCAATTGGGGTGTTTATGGGATTATAGTCTTACATTTTAAATTTATGCAAAACCTTCGTTAAATAGTTTTCTTGACACAATTCTGCATATCCCTCTTTTAAATTTTGTACAATATCAATACCTAAATATTGAGAAATGATCCCTAAATCTTTCATATAAAAATTGCTACTTAACATAGATTTAAGTTTTTCTACTTCTACTAAATCAGTACCTAAAATTAGTAAATCATCGACATAAATCAACACATACAAATTATTTTTCTTTGAACATTTTGAATACAAACAATGATCGTTTTCAGATCTACAAAAACCTTGCTTTTTCATTAAACTATCAAATTTAGAGTTCCAGCATTTAGGACTTTTCTTTAACCCATAAATGGATTTATTTAGCTTGCACACCACATTACTATTAGTTGACCCTGGCAATGGCATAAATACCTCTTCTTCGATGTCACCATATAAAAAGGCACTTCGCCCATCCATTTGATAAATAGGCTTTCGTAATGTATTGCCCACAACAAGTAAAATTCTAAACGTCGTTGACTTCGCAACTGGCGCGTATACATCATACAATTCACCTTCATGTTTTTGTTGAAACCCACGAGCTACAAGTCTAGCTTTGAATTCGTCTTCACTTTTTTGTTTAAATACCCACTTGCTTTCTATTACTTTTTTATTAACAGGCCTTTGCACTTCACACCATGTATTATTCTCGCGCAACACTTCCAATTATTTTTCCATAGCTTCCTTCCATTTATTTGCGTTTTTACACGAAACTGCCTCTTCGTACGAAATCGGATCCTCAATAGCTGTAAAGAAACCCATATCTGTATTCATTATGTAATCTTTTGTCCAAATCAGTCCTCTTGTTTCTCTTCTACTTCTTTCTATCTGTCGATTTTCTACTACATCATTATCATCTCCATCCGATAAGTTGCTTATATTATCTACATGATTTCTCATCTCAGCTGCCACCTCTAAATTATCCTGTTCTTGTTCATTCTCTTCTCTCTCTAAGTCTAACGAAACTATTTGTTCTTTTTCTTCTGTGTTATCCTCATTCTTCAGTATTGATTCTTCAGGTATAAAAATCACATCTCTGTGTATTTCTACGCTATTTTTATTAGGAAAATAAATCCTATATCCTTTCAGTCTCACTATAACCGACAAACAATCCAATTTTATTTTTTGGATCAAGTTTTAATCCTTTTTCTTTAGGTACATGTACATATACCTTCAGCCCAAATTCTTTAAAAAAATGTATTTTACACTCTTTTCCGTACCAAAGTTTATATGGAGTTTGATCTTTTTGAGGACAGCTGCCAATTCTGTTTAAAATGAAAACAGCTGAATTAACAGCTTCGGCCCATAACATTTTATTCAAATGTTTACTATGTAATAATGTTCTAGCTGCCTCCACTAATGTCCTCATCTCCCTTTCTGCTCTTCCATTCTGTTCAGGAGTGAAAATACATGACCTTTCATGGCATATTCCTTTTTGTTCTGTCATGGCTGTCAGTTCCTTGTTTATAAACTCTATTCCGTTATCAGTACGTAAAGTTAATACTTTGTTTCCCGTTTGATTTTTCACCAATTGAATAAAACTCTCTATCTTTTCTTTTGTTTCCGATTTATTCTTTATAAAATAAACAAATCTGTAGCCAGAAAAATCATCTTTCAACATAAGAAAATATTTTGCCTCTCCTAAGAATGGCACTTCAAAGGGACCACACAGATCACTATGTATTAATTCGCCTGTTTTCTTTGCCCTTGATTTACTTGATGGGAACGGTAGTCTGTGTTGTTTCCCTGCTAAAGCAATCCTCACAAAAATAATTTTTTTCTTTATAATTTACATTATGTTTTCTCAAAATCTTCTTAACTTGATTAAAATTTACATGAGCAAACTTTCTGTGCCATACTGATAAAGTTTCTGCTATGTTACACTGTAATATTTCAATATTTTTAAAATTCATCTTAAATAGTCTCCCTTCTCTGTTTGCTACTGCCCTTATCATTCCATTTTTGTCTAAAAATTCACACCTTTCTTTATTGGAATGCATTTCAAATCCTTTATCTAATGCTTTACTCAACGAAAAAAGATTCACATCTAGATCTGGGACAAACAATTCGTTATTTAAATCTGTTTTAAGCCATTCTTTTCCATTCCATTCTTCTACCTTTACTTTACCTATGCCTTTCACTGTCAATAGTGACCCATTTCCCACTTTCACTTGCCTGTTATATTCTAACTCGGTCAATTCAAAAAACTTTTCTAAATTGGAACACATGTGATCAGTGGCTCCACTGTCTAACCACCATTCGTTTTTGATAAACTGAGACTGCCCAACCAAAGCATTGAAATTTGTGCATTTTGTTACACTTGATACTCCAACAAATGCTTGTGTTGAATTCGTTGATGGCTTTTTGTCATTTTTATTACCCTCTGTGTCTTTTTTCTTCTTAAACCAGCAATCTTTCATAACATGACCATCTTTCCTACAATAGTAACACGTTTTCCTGCCTTCGTTTGGTTTTAATTGCGGACAGTTTCTTTTTATATGCCCCATTTTATCACATTGAAAACATTTCATTGATTTCTGTTCATGACTACTTTTACTTCTCATACTTAAAGCTGTCACCTGCTCTTTGTTTTTAGTTCTTTCTTCTTCTATCATCAATCGAGACATAAGTTCAGTTAGAGTTTGGTTATGATTTGGTGTTGACTCCCAAGCGGAAATAAAATGCCTTAAATGTTCTGGCAGCGACATTAAAACTTTAGTTATTACCATCTTGTCACTAATTTCTTCACCCATTTGTTTCAAGTTACTTTGGATTTCTTCTATTTCAGAAATGAATTCAGCCACTTTGCTTTCTTTGTATTCTAACCTGAAAAACTTCTGTTGTAATAAGTGTACGCTAACTTGAGACTGGTGTTCGTATATAGTTTTCAGTTTCTGCCACATTTCTGCCGTTGTTTTGCATGCTAATATATGTGTCATAGGTTTCTCTTCCATTCTAATTACTAATAAATCCTGTGCTTTAGCGTCATTCTTCGTCCATTCTTCTGCATTTTCATTAGTTTTTAAACATATTCCTGAAACTACATCCCATAATCCTCTGGACTTTAATACTACTTGTACCTGGAACTTCCAAAGTGTCCAGTTTTCTCCAGAAAACTTGATTAACTGACCAGACTCCATCATTTTGTGTATATTTCTTTTCTTTTTTTTTTTTCTCGACAGTAAAACACTTCCCTCCAAAAAACGCTTCTAACCTCAAAAAATTATACTCATCAGGTGCTACTTATACACGTTCTTTAACATTGCAAAGCAAACGATGATAAAAAGCGGGTCTGGGCCCATAACCTGTTGTTTATAAAGTAATTGAGTAATTTATTAACATTAACTNACTAGGCAAAACCGTAGGCGAAGTAATAGAAGTGATGAAAAACTCAGGCTTTAAACTTAATAAAAGCAAATGCATTTTTGAAGCAAAGAGAATAAAATTTCTAGGTCACATTGTTTCAGCCAACGGACTAGAAGCAGACCCGGACAAAGTAGAGGCCATACAAGCAATGAAAACTCCAACAAATAAAACAGAGTTACAGAGACTACTAGGGATGATTACATATCTAAATAAATTTATCCCCAATATGTCAGATTTAACAAATCCACTAAGAGATTTGTTACACAAAAATACAAGCTTTACATGGGATTTTTATCATAAAGAGGCGTTCAAAAAAATAAAGCAACTACTACAGAGTCCTCCAGTACTGAGACTATATGATGTTAACAAACCTGTAACTTTAACAGTAGATGCAAGTTCCAAAAATCTTGGAGCTGCACTCCTTCAAGAAGGACAACCAATAGCCTATGGAGCAAGAGCATTGACAAAATCCGAACAGAACTATCCTCAAATTGAAAAAGAAGCCCTAGCTATACTGTTTGGATGCAAGAAATTTCATGAATATGTATATGGTAAGGAACTGACAGTAGAGTCAGACCACAAACCACTCGAAACGATTTTCAAGAAGAATATACAGTCGGCTCCAGCAAGGTTACAACGCATAATGTTTAATCTTGCACCATACTCACCGAAAGTAACATTTAAAAAAGGCACAGAAATACCGTTAGCTGACTTTCTTAGTCGAGACTGTGATGCAACTAATCTGAAATACGAACCAGAAGAAAATTTGAAAGTCGCAGTAATACTACCTATGTCGATAGATGCTAAAGAAGAAATAGTCATTGCTACAAAAGAAGACACACATTTACAGTTACTACTTAAGGTAATAATGCAAGGATTTCCCGAAAATGTCAACGAACTTCCTACAGAACTACAACATTATTTCAACTTTAAAGAAGAACTAAGCTATTTCAAAGGAATCATTTTCAAAGGTGACAAAATTGTAGTACCAAAATTATTAATACCTAAAATGTTAAAGAATATTCATCAAGGACATTTAGGTATACAAAGCTGCTTAAGAAGAGCACGACAATTCCTTTATTGGAAAGGACAATACGATGATATCATAAAACTAATCAGAGGTTGCTCCGTCTGTGAACAAACCCAAAGAGACAATATGAAAGACACAGTGTTAGTGAAAAAAATACCTACACTTCCATAGCAAATAGTCGCATCAGATTTATTCGAATTAAAAGGAAAAACTTACCTAGTAATATGTGACAGTTACTCTGGATATCTAGATTTTCAACAGTTAAAAGGTCAGTCATCGTGTGAAGTAATTGAACAACTTAAAAAATGGTTTTCCGTACATGGAGTACCAGAAGAGCTTCAAAGTGACAACGGCACGCAATACCTGTCTAGAGAATTCGAAAAACTTTCAAAAAGAGTGGAGATTTAACCATGTCACATCCAGCCCACATCACCATCAAGGCGACGGACTTGCTGAAAAGCAGTTCAAACGGCAAAGAACATACTAAGAAAATACAGCATTGACAAATCAGACGTTCAACTCGCATTAGTAAATTGGAGAAATACACCCCGAAATGATTATTTAGGCTCATCCAACCAACGACTTTTCAGCAGAATTACTAGATCTCAAATACCTACAAGTGATAATAATTTAAAACCAAAAATAATCCAAGGAATCACAGCTGAACTACAGCGATTAAGAGAGAAACAAGCCAATTACAGCAATAAACATACTACAAGACCAGTCAAATTTGAAAGTAATGATCAAGTCAGACACAAAGTTGCTCATAGACACTGGGAAGGGGCAAGAGTTGTAGAAAAGCCTGATGGCTTACCAAGATCAGTAATCATTCAAACGGATAGAGGGCAAATCTTACGAAGAAACTTCAGTCATCTGCACAAGACACGAGCAGAAATAACCAGCAAGAGAGTGGTAATACCTGAAACTAATTACACAGAGGTACCAGCATCAGCTCAGTCACCAGTCATTCCTAAGTCACTACCAACACATTCATCACCAAGCACTCCTGATCACGTGCAAAACTCAAACCTGGCTCCAACAGAGACAGCACCACGATTATCAAGCTTTGGCAGAATAATTAAACCAATAAATAGACTTAATCTTTAATAGTGCGTCATCCATACTTGTAATAGATTGTACTGTGCAATGCAAATCCTAGTTTACGTTTATAACTATCTGTATTAAATTGTAATGCAAATGTTGGGGCACTATGTTAGCTTAAATTCATGTGCTCACCTTTACAAAAGAAGGGAGATGTAAAGTATAGACATCTAGTGACGGCATTGCGAAGTAGCATTGCCAAGAGTAGTTGACATAACATTCTTGTATCTGATTACGATAAATATATATCACTTACTTAGTTATTAAACGAACGTTTTAATTAACGAAACCCAACATTACATGGTGTCAGAAGTGGGATAAAGCGTCAATAAACAGGAAAAAGTGAGAAAGTTGTGAAATGGCCACGAACGACGCAGTATCAGGAATAAAGCCGCCAGCTAACCTACAAATCGACTCGGACAAATCAACGAGCTGGAAAAAGTGGTTACAACAATTTGAGTGGTATGCCACTGCTATCCAACTAGATAAAAAGCCAGCCGAGGTCCAGGCAGCAACATTTATGGCTGTGATAGGCCCAGATGCGATCGAAATTTATAATAGTTTCAATCTCAGCGAGGTGGAAACAGATAACCTACAAGTTATCAAAGATAGGTTTAAAGAGTATTTTGCACCAAAAACAAACATATCTTTTGAAAGATATATATTTTTCAAGATTGAACAAAATGAAGATGAACAATTCAATGAGTTTTTAACTAGAATAAAAACCCAAGCAGGAAAATGTGAATTTGACAACTTATGCGATGAAATGCTGAAAGACAAGATAGTATTCGGAATTAGATCTAATCAAGTAAGAGAGAAATTACTAACAGAAGACAAACTAGATTTGATGAAAGCGGTAAATATCTGCAGAACAAGTGAACAAGCTTCCAAACAACTGGATGAGTTTGAAAGTAAAAGTAAAACGGAAAGCGTGTCAGCAGTGAAAAACAAAGATGCCAGAAAAGAAGAAAACAAGAACTTTGACTGCAGAAGATGTGGTACAAACCATAAACGCCGAGAGTGCCCAGCTTTTAACAAACCATGCACAAAATGCAATAGAAATGGTCACTTTGCAAATATGTGCAGGACTACAAAGAAATATGATACTAAACGGAAAAATAGAGTGAATGTACTAGAAGAAAGCTCAAATTCTGAAGATGACGTATACATATCTGCTATAAGTACTGGAGAAAAGAAAAACTGGACAGAAAAGATTCAGGTTGACAACGTGAAGTTTACAGTTAAACTAGATACAGGCGCAGAATGTAATGTATTACCAAGACATTTGATGGACAAAACAAAAGCAAGTCTGAAGTCAAGCCGAACAAGAAATCTGATAAGTTACACAGATGACAAAATGACAGTGTTAGGTGAAGTAGAGCTAGTATGTAAATTAAAAAACGAAGAAACAAAAATTGTTTTCAAAGTAGTTCAAGAAAAAGTTACACCAATCTTAGGACTTGATACCTGCGAAAAATTGGGACTTATTGCACGAGTCAAAACATTGAAGGAAAGTCAATGTACAGATGACATATTCGAAGGCTTAGGCTGCTATAAAGGTTACGAGTATGATATCGATCTGATTGAGAACCCAAAATTCGAAATNGTACATGTCAGTTAATTGCATTTGATTATCATATTGCATAATATAATAGTCAAGTTCTTCGGTGCACATTTCATAAACTTCGAAACTATTATTGTATAATGTCTCATAATCATTTCTTTATTTATTTAATGCGTTTAAGTAATAGTTACATGTATTATCAGATTTAACAAATGTAACAATAAATAGAAATAGTATTATTTTAAACATGATTATGTTAGTTTTATTACAGTTACTTTAATAATAACAATAATTTGGTTGTTTTATGTTTTTATTACATTATATTCCCCCACCACACATTTACATTTCTATCTTACTAAATTTTTCAAAAACAATCTTAATAATTTTACATTTTCTCTAGAACAATTTGCTTTATTAAATACTAAATCATGTAAATTACAAGGTAAATATGTGTAGTCCTTTTTAAGTTTTTGGAGTGATGGACATTGTAGATCTTCTAAATTGATAATATTTATACTCTTATCATCCAGAATATCTTCAATCTATTTAGCTTTCTCTAAACCTTTTACGTAAACCGTTGTTGCATCATTTAACTGTAATTCTATTTTTATTACATATTTTAAGAGACAGTAGTCAATTTTTCCACTTCTTTAGCCACAAATCGATTAGTGTCTGTTTTAAAACCTTGTAAATCAACGATTATAGATTTTTCCATTTTTTTTGTCTTTTAACCGTGCACACACTGTTTCACTTCTTCTTTTACTGGGTAGATTTCTTATCTTTTTCTGATATTTATACCAACAATAATATAAAAAAAAGGGGGAACATCACCTGATACTTAAATGATTTTCAACCTAGATTCGAACTTGAGGTGAAAACTGAAATATTTACAAATTCAAACATTTATCTTCATAACCTAAGGAACCCTTTAAATAAAAATAGCTAGATGGACAGTGCTTATGGCCTTCAGACTTTAGTAATTCTGTAAATGTGCACGGAATACATTTCATATTAGGTTCGTCAGTTTCACCTTTACATATAGGACATCTAAACTTAATTTTAACAGGTATTTCTTTTTCTATAAAATACGAACAACACTTGTGAGGGGATTGCAATTCACGAATCTTTCGTGAATAATTAAACAATAGGCAGACGTTTTTGCAGGTACATTTTCAATCGTTTCAAATTCTAATCGAATATTAATAGCGCCATTTTTAATCGTTTTACTTTGATGTGAGCAATTAATAACCACTAGCGGTGCACGTTTCTTAAACAAATCTGGTGTTAGGACAGGTTCGTCGCTACTTTTATTCCAATAATACGATCGTTGAAATTTGCTATTCGCTCTGAGGGAAGGCATGGTAGCGGAATTTAAATCGACTGAAGCGTTCGCAGTGGTCACTTTGAACATTACGGGAGGCTACTATAACCGAAACTGTAAACAAAAACACGTTAAAATAATTTTTTTCGTTTTAATTTAAATAAATTAAATAAAAATGAGACATCAAAGTTGTTGTGCAGTGAATTGTAAAAATACGAGCAGAAAAAGTGAGTGCAAATTTTATAAATTTCGTACCGCTAAATGGAAAATTAATCAACGGAATCAGTGGATAGCTGCGGTTAAAAGGCTAAAGTAAGTAGTATCATAACCTTATTGTTATCAAAAAAAATAATTCAGAGTGTTATAAATTTTTGTAAAATTGTTAAGTTCAGCAAATGTAAATAATTTTTTTTGCAATGCTGTAATGAAAAAGTAAAAAGAAAANCTAAATAAATTATATATTATAAAAATTTAATGATTAAAAGAAAAATAAAAGTTATCACAGACTGAAAAAATTTTGATTTTGAAAACAGTTTAATTAATACTGTGCTGAAATAATGAAAAATATATATTTATAGCGTTGATGGATAACCGTGGGTCCCCAAGCCATATGATTGTATTTGTAGTGACCATTTTATTGGGGGTAAAAAATCAGAAGAGGAGTTAAGACCTAGCTACATTCTAACAATATTTCCTTCAATTTACAAGTCTCCAAAAGTTAATGAATCTTCGGTCATAAACAGGTAAACATTATTTGGTAAAATTAGACCAATGTTAATAACATAATTATAATAATTTCATATTTTCAGATACAAGCGTTTAATAAACCAGCAGATAAAAAAATCACCTCCAAAATCAAGTTCTGAACTCACGGTATTAGAACCGATGGAAGTGATAAATGAATATGATAACCCTCCGATTGTGTCTTTAAAAGTTGACCAAGAGTGTCAAGTTCATTTTTATTCAAACTCTGATGTCAATTCTCAAACGTTTATTTGCAATCGTTATGTCACAAATGATTTGTGTCATGCTGAAACTCAGACAGAAGTAGTTGAAGATATAGGCCGATAACAATTAATGCTAGTAATAAAAAATTTGTTAATAAAGAATGTGGGACTGATCAAAAAACGTTTCCTGATAAGGAAAGTCAAGCGGATAATAAAATCTTCAGAGGATTCGCATCGGTGACAAAAGAAGAAATCATTGATCTGGCCGGTGTATCATTCCCAAATTTTGATTTCTCATTGAGTAGACTATGTACACCTACGCCACGAAAATACATTGTATCAAAAAAAGACCGACTATTAATTTTTTTAATGAAAATTAAAACTGGATTAACATTTTCGGCACTTGGTGTATTATTTAGTGTTCACAGAACAACAATTTCAACAATTTTTTATGAAATCCTACAATATATTGCTAGTGCGACAAGAAATTTAGTATTTTGGCTAGATATCGACTCAGTACAAGAAACAATGCCTGATTGTTTTCTACCTGATTATAATAACACCAGAGTCATAACTGATTGCACTGAATTTCGAATAGATATTCCGACAAGTGTCGACAACCGTGCTCTTCCTTACTCACAATACAAAAAGTATTTCACGGCCAAAGTTCTTATTGGTATAACTCCTGGAGGTTTTATATCCTTGAGATCTGACGTAGCTGGAGGACGGAAATCAGATTCTCAGCTTACAATAAAGTCAGGGTTGTTGGATTTATTGGAGAATGGTGACATAGTTTTGGCTGATAAAGGTTTTCCAGAAATAAAAACAGTGATTGACGCAAGTGGCAAGAAAGTGGAAATGGTTATGCCGCCTTTTCTAGAGAAAAAAAATGAATTTTCAAGTGAAGAATCTCAACAGACATACAGCGTTGCAAGGGTTAGGATTCACGTTGAAAGAATTATGCAGCGGTTAAGTACATATCAAATATTGCATAAAATTCCACAACATTTGTTCTATTGCATTGATGATATTTTGCACATTTATTGTGTTTTGGTAAATTTACAGCCTCCAATTATTTTTGATAACAAAGATCCTGAAAATGAGGGATGAGAATATTTTATTACTCATAAAAGTTGGTCAGTGAGTACTTGTAAAAATACAAATTTATGATTGTAAGAAACTGTACATTTATTTTCAGCTATTAATTACATAAATAATTAAGATTTTTGTAAAACATGTAACGATTAATAAAATTCTTTTAAATTGATAGTATTGTAACAGACAATAACACTCTTTACTAATTTAATAAATATTAATTTTTCAGTAACTACTTATCAAACTAATTATTTNTCGATTTTCGTTCATATACATGGAGCGAGCTTGAACGGAAAAACGTATAAAACACCATAAATAGTCATTTTTGAACAAAAATAAAGCAAGCAACAGCTAGTTCTTATCATTTATTAATTACTTATCGTTATCAGTTGTCATTTACTGATGAATTAAGGAAAAATTTGTCCTAATGTTCGATTTCGGTTCCCAAAAATAACCCATGTATAGCTACCTGTCGATTGTTTGGGAACCAAAACAGAACTTCTGCCAAATATTTTTGCTTAATTCATCGATAAATGATAACTGATAATATAGATTAACCGATAAATGATATAAAGAGCTCCTGCTTGCTTTATTTTTGCCAAAAATTTATTATTTATGGTGTTTTTTACCTTTTTTCGGTCTTAAACGACCCACATATATGAACTAAAATATAACTTTTGTTGAAAATTTTTGCTTAATTCATCAATAAATCACATTTAATATCAAATATTATTTCATAAATAATCTAAATACGTTCTCCCTAGCTTTGATTTTTGTAAAATAATAGGAATTTCTTGCTCGAATTGAGTTTTTTTAATTTTTAAGATTTTAAATTCAACTTTTACTGAAAATTTTTGCTTAATT